TTTTTTGTGTTTTTTTTTTTTTTTTTTTTTTGCAGGAAGGAATGGGTGAAGAAGGGTAAGCAGCTGAGTAGGTTTAAGATTGGATAGTTTGAATAATTTCAGTGGGCTCTGGGCTATAGAGGTAGTCCTAGTTGTTTGGTACTTGGCCCTGGGGTGATTTCAGGCAGGGAGATGTTGTCTGGCAGTAAGAGCCTGATAAAAGGAGGAGGAATGGTGGTGTGAATTTAGGAATGGGTGGGTTGCATATCAAAGGCGTGCTCAAGGCAAATTGTTTGCTATCTCTAGGAGTCAGCTAACCCTGGGAGTGGCAGTCCCACAAGGCCCCAAGGTGTCAAAGCATCACAAAATATAGAACATTAAAAACATGATTTATACAAGAAGGTGATTGGAGCCTTTTGCAAGAAGTCTTAACTCTCCTGTTGGTCTCTCTGAACTCACTCCAGTTGGACTCTCACTCTCAGAAATGACAAAATCCAACCCTGTCATTCCTGACCATTGTCAGCCCGGCAGTAGCTCTCTGCTCCCTGAGGCATGCTCTCCTCTTAGTTGCCAGGACACCTCCCTCTCCTGGTAGCCCCTTTGGCTAGCCCCCCTTTTCCCCAACCTCTTTATATTGAAGTGTCCAGGCACAGTCCTTCCTCCTCTATTTTGATCACACTCCCTCCCTTGGTGGTCTCGCTCAGCCTCCTGACTCTAACTTCCACACTTAGATCTCCAGCCCAGATTTCTCTGTCAAATTCCAGATTTGTGTATCTGCTCATCTGCCCAGTGTTTCCATTTGACGTCTGATACATGTGACCAAACTCCCGATCTGCGCTCTCACCTCCCCACCCACAGCTTTCCCCACTTCAGCAGATGGCAACTCTGTCATTCCAGGTGAGCAGGCCCCAAACTTGCCATCTGCAAGTCCTCACTTTTTGGCACATTCCATATTGTGTCTCTCAGGAAATCCTATGGGTGCTGCCTTCAGAATATATCTAGAAATGAATCACTTTCCGCACCTCTACCACTGCAGCCTGAGGTCAAGGCCTCCTACCTTTTGTTCTCCGTGCTTCTCCCTTAACTCTCTGCAGTCCATTCTCAACACAGTGGGCCAAGAGGCTCTTTAAAAATATTAATCACATCAAGTCCATCTTCTGTTCAAAATCCTTCCCTTAACCTTTCTGGTCTTTGCACCTCCTACCTCCCTATTCTTTACTCAGTCTAGCTATCTGGCTGCCTTGCTGTTCCTCAGACACACCAGGCACACCACTGCACTCCCTCCGCCTGCATCCCTCTTTTTCCCAGGTATATCCTTGCCGACTCTCTCATCTCCTTGAAGTCTTTGCTCAGATGTCACTTTCTTAATGAGGTCCACTCTGACCCCCTATTTAACATTGCAACTGTCCTGGACATCCTCCTAATCCTCACCTCCTCCGTATTTTAAATTTCCCATAGCATGGACCTTCTTCTCGCATCCTATAGAATTTACATGTTGTTATGGTTTATTGTTTGTCATCCTTTTCTCCTGTCACATGTAAGCTTTTCCAGGGCAGGGGCCTTGTCTATTTGTGCACTGCTGCTTTCCCAGTGTCTACAGCAGGGCTATGTTCATAACAGTAAGCATTTGCTGAAAGAAGGAAGGGACTTTGCTTTCAGAATTTGCTTTCAGAAAGGAGGGGGAGTGCAAGAAAATATTCCTGGAATCTGGAAAGATGCCTAAGCCTGTCCTGTCCTAAGAGTGTCAAGGCCCTAAGTGTCCCATAGAGGTTACAGAGTTTCTTCAGGAAGCAGGTGTGGGATTATCACAGGGACTCTGGACCTAGTTGGAGATGCCTGTCCTAGCAGAGCCCAAGACCACACAGGCTTGGACAATGGGCACTTTGGAGTGACCAGTGTGGACAGTTGACTAAAGAAAGAAAGATCTCTCATGGTCAAGTGTCAGTTCCTTGGTAGGACCTTAGGCAAGGAGACCACTCCCCACCAGCCCTGCTGCAGAGGTCTTCAGAATGTGACTAAAGTTGATACAAAGAAGACACCTGACCTTGGGGTTGCAAGTTTATGTCCACTCCACATTTGTCACATGTGTAGTTATCTGTTTAATGCCTCTCTTTCATCAGTACACTGTTAGCTCCTGTGGGATGAGGCCATTCTGCCCTGCTCTCCTCTTCCTGGGACCTCCAGGATTTTGGACGGTGTCTAGCACAGAGTTGGGGGTGGGATGAGGCTCAAGTGAAGCAAACACCTGAGATCAGATAAGAGCTGACAAGCCCAATATGTGCTGTCTCTGTTCAAAGCCCTTTACATACATTAATGTATTCGTTCCTCACCATAAGTCTATGAGGGTGATATTATTATTATTATTATTACTATTATTTAAAAATATATCTTTATTGATTTCAGAGAGAGGAAGGGAGAAGGAGAGGGAGAGATAGAAACATCAATGATGAGGAGTCATTGATTGGCTGCCTCCTGCATGCCTCCGACTGGGGATCCAGCCCGCAACCCAGGCATGTGCCCTGACTGTGAATCGAACCACAATCTCCTGGATCATAGGTCCATGCTCAACCGCTGAGCCATGCTGGCCAGGCGAGGGTAGTATTATTATTATCCCCTTTACACATGAGAGAATAGACGTGCAGAGAGGATAAGTAACTTGCTAGAGATTATATGAATAGGAGCTGGCAAATAGTAACAGTTGGAGAAGGGATTCAAACCTCACAGTCTCACTCCAGAGACTCTTAGGCTTTACTTCCAAGTGACATCCTGAGACCAGGATGTCTGTATTGAATCTTAGATTTATCCAGTTGACCAATGCCAACAAAGATAGGTGGTTCTCCTTTTCTGACCAAATGGAGCATGAAAACTGGTCCTGGTGCTAAAATTTAACGTCAGGAGGTAAATGTTAGTGGGAATTCCCTAGATGAGAAGAGCGGTTGGAGCCTCCAGAGATGGGTGTCTGGTGGAGCTGGCACCTTGGGTGTCTCCAGCTCAGCTCGCCTTGGTGCTTTAGGCCAGCTGGCTCCTCCAATACTCATAGCAGCCAGTGATAACTTTCATGCTCTTTGGAGCCACAGAGCACCAGCCATCTTACCTGTTAGCCCTCCCACTTGAACATCTCTGCCTCTAGCTATAGCCTCTTTTCTTCTTTGCCCCTTAGAGGGGCTGTCCCTCCACTTCTCTTCGCTACCCCCAGTCATCTTCTGGGACCCTGTTTTTGCCTCCTTCCCCCTTGTTTCTCTGCTTGAGACCAGATGCCTGGGTCTCCCATTTAAAAAAATGCTTCCCCTCATCCCTGGGGTCTTTCCAGCACCAAGCCTGCCTCAGATCTCAAGGATAGTAAGGCTCACTGTGAGCAAGTCCGTTTTCAGGATCTCCTCTCCCTCAGCCCCATTCTCTGTCCACCGGGGAAGATTGTTCCCTGAGACTGAGGATAATTCTCAGGCTTTTTTTTCTTTTTTTTTCTTCTTGGCTTCCAGGCTGCAGTTTCTCTTTCCGTCTCACTCAGTTGGGTCACATCCATCCTCTCTACTCTCTGACCACGTCCTGGTGATTTCTAAATTAACATTTCTCCTTGCAGGGGCTATCAGTGGGGTGGAAAGGATTAGGACACTTCTCTTTTGCCAGAGGTCCATGGTTCCTCTTCAAGTTTCAGCTAAATTGTAACCTGCCCTGACCATCATAGACCAGATGGGGTGCCCTTCCTCCATGTCCCTGATCCACTCAGTGCATACAGTTAAGCACTTACTATACTTCGTATTTTAAAAAAGTCATGCGTCGCTTCACTGAAAATGTGTAGAAGGCAGGGAAGCTGACTATTATGTATAAAAGTAGTCAGCACTTGGCATGAGCATATAATAGGTGCTCAGGAGGTATACATAATAGGAGTGAATACATGAATGATAAGGGCAGGGGCTCAGGCAGAAGACTCACAGGGACCAGCATTCAGGAGTTGGGGCAGTTATCTCAGAATGCTGGGTTTCTTACCACCCCAGCAGGGCCTCTTCATGTGGTGTGGTCACATTCCGGTAATGTCCACTTGAATGTCCCACCAGTGAGTCACAGGGCAGGGTGGGAGGTCGAGCGCAGAACCAGAGCTCCCCTGAATCTTCATCCCTGTAGTGACAGGTAGACTCTTCCTCTCCAATTAACAGGGGGTTAATATTGCAAGTCACAGTTTCTTCATATCCTGTTGGTCCCCGAAAATAGCCCATGAAATCAACTGTGGCCCATTGGTCTCTCCAGATTCTTCGCAGAACCCCAACTGCCTCACTGGAGTGGATTAGCCGAACTTGCACCTGGGCCTGCCCAGCCCAGAAAAGGGGGAAGGACAGCAGGTATGTGCCATTCTCCAGGTCCTGGACATTCCCAGGGACCCCTGCCTTCAAGTAGGGACTCAACAGCTTTGTCCGAAACAGATCCCCACCATGGGTCTTGGGCCTGCCCAGATAGTCTCTGGCCACAAGGATGGCCTCCAGGTAGCCTCCCAGGGCATAGTTGGCCCGAACAGGACTTCTCAGGTGGTAGGTGGAGGTCTCAGGGCTGGTGGAGGCCAAAAGGTCCCCCTCATCTCCTGGGGTCAGAGGCCAGTGCAGAAGGTGGGTCAGGTTTGAGAACTCCTGGGCTAGGAGAGAGCCAGAGGATTTGCGGGCAGGGTGGGGCCTTGGGGGCAGAGGGGCAGCACTGTCAGGCCAGGTAACCCTGATATACAAGATCTGTGGGGAGAAGAAGAGGAATCTGTCAGTGGTTTTTGCCTCTTCATATTTTTTCTGGAAAGAAGTTCTCAATTTGCCAAACTTAGTACTTCTCTGCCTGGTGGGTCTCAGGCAGGAATCCTATCTGCCCTGCCTTTTGCTGCTTCTGAACCAAAGCTGTTGTCTGAGCACCACCACACACATCTGCAAACACCATCTGGTATTTAAAACCATATGTTTGTGAGTTTTGCTAAATCCCAAGGATAATAAATGGCATCTCTGTTTTCTGTTCCCTGCTGGCTTCTGCCCACCACCTGCTCACCTCTGACACACATATTCCCACTGCCACCAGAAGGGGTCCAGGCTTTGACCCACCCCTCATCTCTAGTTCTCCCTACTCCTTACAAGTCCATCTTTTCTCCAAAACCCAGAGTAAATCCATCCTCTCCTCCTATTCTCTCTCTCTCCCTCCCTCTCTCTCTCTCTCTCTCTCCCTCTCTCTCTCTCTTTAAAATATTCAGAGAGAGGAAGGGAGAGGGAAAGAGAGAGATAGAAACATCAATGATGAGAGAGTCATTGATCGGCTGCCTTCTGCACGCCCCCGACTGGAGATCGAGCCCGCAACCTGGGCATGTGCTCCGACAGGGAATTGAACTGTGATCTCCTGGATCCTAGGTCAATGCTCAACCCCTGAGCCATGCCCAGCCGGGCCCTATTATCTCTTTTCACATCTTGGTCTCTACTAGACATCTCTATCCTAGATTTAGAAGGAGAATTTCCTTTCCACGTAGAAGGAAAGACAGTTGATGGACTGGACATAGGGGTGCTGAGGTTTCCTTACACCAGATGCACAAAGGAGAGCCATGTGCAGATAGAATGGGGGTGTTGAGGAGGGAGTAAGCTGTAGCTCCTGGTCTCTCCAGCCCACAACAAAAATCCAAGTTTTAGGTAAGCACACACCTAAGTTGTCCTTACCTCATAGATAACATACATATGGCTCAAAATCATAGTACAAATGCTTAGCAATTTCTCCCAGGGAAGAAAGTTAATCAAGTTTGATGGTCTATTAGCATTTGATGGTCTCTAGCATTTATCTACTCTGCATCTGATTTATTCTCTGACTACACCTTAGTGTCAAGGATCGTGACCCCCTTTCTCAGACTTTCCTCATAGCATAGACATTAGGTTATACATACACACTCCTGGCCATTTGATTTTCCCAGGTTTCACGGACCAGGGCAGTGGGGATGGCCAAATACCTTTCCTTACATATCTCCTGGATAATATCAACCTAAGCAGGAAAAAAGATTTGGGAAGTATATCAGGAAGGAAGAACTGGTATGGGGGGGTGGTGTGCAGGTAGAAGGAGATATTTCCTTCATGCAAATCACTGAGATCTATCTATGAGGCACTTAATTAAGCCCCTGAAATTTGAATTTTTCTGTGTCATGTTGTAGGAGTTTGTGACCGAGAACTGGGGTAGCCGCAGTCTTACCAGGGACCGGCGTACCTTGGGGCAGAGACATATGCAATTAGGGAATGAGACATGATGGAGAACCACAAGAGACCACCAGTGACTCTGAGACTGGCTTGGAATTAAGCCCTTCATCCACAGGACCTCTTAGAGCCACCACCCCGTCCTGGTCAGCAACTGTGATCATTCAACAGGAAAGGACGTCCACCTCACTCAGGTTAGGAGCCTGTTTACTTTTCAATCTCTTGGTTTCTCTTCCCAGTATCAAAGGGGAAATAGAGAGGAGAAGAATGAGAAAGGTATGTGTGAGAAGAATGAGAAAGGCCTGCCTCTCTCCCCAACTCAAATCAACTGGAGCCTTAGCTGAATTTGGCAAGAAGGGATAGAGGGAGAAGGGAAGGAGCAGAGAAGGAGAACTTTAAATAGGACATGAAGTTGAAGCTGCAAATGAATAGAACTGAATCTTAGAGAAACAAAGTAGACTGATATAGTAACTGAAATTCTTAAAAGTTATGGAATTACACTGAGATATGGTTAAGGAAGTCCAGGGGAAGGATAGTATTCAACAGACAGTTGATGACAACAATTGGAAGAATTAAAGTTATTACTTTATACTCCAACTAGGTCCTCCATAAACTGGTTGTAAGTTCTTTAGTAAGCACAGGCCTTTGGTCTCTGCAGGCACATTGTGGTTTAGGACAGCAGTCTTAAAGCAATATTTTAATTGGCCTGGGCTTCGGCAGGCAAAAACTGGGTATCTGCTGTTGACTTTGATAGAAGAATCTGCTCCTAGAACTCCTAACTGGAGTTAGATTGCCAAGACAAGAAAGAATATGGGTTTGTTTGTGTTGTATTTCAAAGTATATCATCTTCACCGAAGTCAGCTTGAGGGGGTTCATCTCTCTAGGGGTAGATTAGGGTTTGTTAAGGAGGAATGCAAAGAAAAAGATGACATATAAAGGCCATAATGAAGGAGAGGAAAATGGACTGATTTTAAAAGCATGTTAAAATATTAAAAGCATAATTGAAACCTTCTGAAATGACTAGGGAACAATGGAGAGAAATATAACACCAGAAACAAACCATCTTCTACAAAGAAAGATGTGACACTGGAATTTTTTTGCTGATATTGAGTAACACAGGTTACTCAAATACTGGAAAATGCAAAAGCAGGAGAAGGGCAAATGTGTTAGTTAGGACTTGCTTTTGGCTAGTAGTAACAGACACCACTTTCAGTGGCACAAACAAAGAAAGTTTTATTTTTCTCACGGTAGCAGTAGGCAATTGGTGGCCTTGGTTCAGTGTCTGTTACTGCACATTTTCACATGTTTTTAAACTTGTTACTACACATTTGCACATTTTTCAAAAGGAAGGAAATGTCCCACCCTGTATTCTCTGCAAGAGGAAGCAGCACGCAAAGGTGAACGTAAGAGCAAGTTCTCTGTGACTTCTTGACATTTCTCTCACGGTCCCAAGAAGGCTGCTGGAGCTCCAGCCATCATATTTATCTTGGGGCAGCAGGAAGGAGGAAAGGCATAGTACCAAAATAGCTTTAGAAGTCCCACACACCAACGTTTGTGTATGTTTCCTTGACCCCTCTTTAAAAAAAAAAAAAAAAATCTTTATTGATATCAGAGAGAGAAAGGGAGAGGGAGAGAGAGAGATAGAAACATCAATGATGAGAGAGTCATTGATCGGCTGCCTCCTGCATGCCCCCGACTGGAGATCAAGCCCACAACCCGGGCATGTGCCCTGACCGGGAATCGAACCGCGATCTCCTGGATCCTAGGTCGATGCTCAACCGCTGAGCCACGCGCAGCTGGGCTCATTGACCACTCTTACCTTTAGTGGAGTCTGGTCATAGAGTCTTCACCCCTTTCTTTACTGGCACAAGTTTGGGTGAGTAGGGAAGAGTAGGAGAGTATTTCTAGAATGAGGCAAAAGCCTTAGAGTCACCAGACTTAGTTCAGGAATCTGCTAAAGATGAAACCAACATGGGGCTGAGAGAGAAACTGCTGCCAGGAGGCATGTTTCATAGGACAAAGGTATTTCCATGCAAGGAGCAGTGGCCACAGCCTTTGCACAGAGCACAGAAGATGAAGATATGGTGGTAGATTTTGTTCCATTGTGCCATTTGCAGAACCCACAGTTTATGCAGCAATTGGATATCAGACCGTGGGACTTAGTGAGGAACAGGAAATTAAGATGTTTTAAACATACATGATAGGGGAAAGACACATCCTTCAAGTAAAATCTGATGATGAGGGTTTTGTTATTGCACACTTTCACAGTTTTCAAAAGGAAGGAAACCACACAGCATTCTCTGCAAGAGGAAGCAGCACACAGAGGTGTATTTCCACTATGTTGTTGTACGCATAGGACACAATCGCCCTCAGTGGGAGAAGTTTCCCAATAAAATTTAAGTTCATAAGTTATGGACTTTGGACAACCTATGCAGAACAACTAGTGGTCTGGTGAGGCTGAAACCAAGAAACTTTTCTCCTTTTTGCCTACTGACTTACCTTCAGATACCTCTGAAGCTCAGCTTTGGTCTCTGGCAAAACTAGAGGTTGGATTATATGAAGTACAGGGCTCTGGGAACTTTGTTTTTTGGTTTACTGCTCAGAGGGGTGGAAATTTGCTATCATTTTCTAAACTTAGTGGGTGTGAATCTGGTGTGGTGATAGTGTGGGAGTCCTATTGACCTTGGAGGCCCTTCTTGCTTCTTTTCTCTCTTTCTCCATCTCTGAACTTTTAGGACCTGCATATGTGAGACAGTGATTCTGCATATGTGTGTCTCCTATGCAGATCCAGGCTCTCCTAAAGGCAGGTTTCCAAAGGTCTAGACTTTGGGAGGTGTTTCTGACTGACACCATTGGTTGCCTATCCAATATCCCGTTTTTATTTGGGGCAGAATAAAGCCAAATGTAATATGTTATCATCATGCAATACATTATTATTGGTCCAAGCCCATCATGACATTCACATTCCTAATTTTCTCAATCTTCTTGAGAGTTTCCCAGTTCTGGTTAATAAGATATGAGGAGAGGTCTGATGACAGATATGGGGGACAGTTTTCACTCACCTAAAAAAGTGACCAGCGTGCTGCCCCTACTTTATTTCCCCCGGGGATGTGGATTCAGTGCCCGGAGATGCATCGACCATCTTGCAATAGGAAGGGAAAGGCCATTTTGAACCTTGTTTCTCCTCCGCTACCCACATAGTTCTGGAGCTGGGTGTCACAGGAAACATTCATATCCTGATAGGACCTCTAGCTCTTTTTTGTGTGTCATGCTGCTGGGTTGGCACAGTGTGGGATAGGAGAGTTCCTGGAAGCCATTCCTATACCAAGACACTTAGCTATAACTTAACTTATACACAGGAATGACTGAAAATCACATTAAATAAAAACCAAATGTTCCTCAATTCAAACTTCCCTTAATGGGCTCTAAAAAAAAAAAAAAAGCCTATGGCCAGTCCAACATCATTTGACATGGAGGAAGTTGTAATAGAAAGATACATGACCTTAACAGATTGAGACTAAAATAGTTTACTACTCTAAATTTTATAAAAACACATGACCATGACAATGTTACCACCCTTCCCGGGGTCTTGGAAGAAACCCTCGTAACTGAAAGACTCTGAAACTTAAGCTTCATTGGCTCCTGGCAAATATACCTCAGGTTGTGACCATGGCAAAGCCAACTCTGCCCCCAATCAACTGCAATATGAGATATCATAATTTATAAGACACATCTCAACTTCAGAAATGTTCAAGTATGAAAAAAATTAACATCTTAGAATTCACAAAATATGGTATTTGCAACATATATATAATACACAAAGGACTAAACCCAGAAAACAGGAAGAATGACCACAAATCAACATGAAAAAGGCAAGTAGTTCAATACAAAAATAGGCAAATTATAAAAACAGACAATTTACAGAAGGGGAACTTGAAAAAGAAACTAAATAGCAGGAAAAAAAAGCTCAACTAATTTAGTTATATGAGCTAGGAATGGTTTAGCTGCAAATTACAGAAAACTCAACACGCAGTGGCTTAAGAATGATGGTCTTACTTTTCTCACATAACAAGATGTCTAGGAGTAGGACATCAAGGGATGGTTAGTGGCTCAACAACGTCATCCAGAATCCAGACTATCTACTCTCTTTATCATGTTACTTGTTGCCCCATGGTGCAGATGGCTGCACCTCCAGTGCTTATGTCCATATACCAGCAAGAACAAGGGTAATGGCAAATTGTGCTTGGTAAATTTCCCCATTTTAATTAGGAAAAAAACATTTCTCCCAAAGTTCCACCCAGAAGTCTTTTGCTTAAATTTTGCTCATGGGAGGTGGCAAGTTCAGTGTCCTCCTACACTGTGGCCATCTTAGACCTCCTCCTGCTTATATTACATTAGCAGGTGTCAGTTGGCCATGAGAGCTGGGAAAATGTCATCTTGATTGGTTGAGACCAATTATAATTCAAATCCCCAGGGCTTGGGTAAGGACCTATCTTCCCTGGAATTCAGGGATCTTTGAGGTAATGTGCTCGAAAACCAGCTCGACAGAAAAACAAAAAAGCTTGATTTAGAGATTCTGTTTTTAGGTAAAGAAGCTTAATAGATAGTTGATTGGTTTTTGCTACATTTGATATCACTTCAGTGTTCACTTCAGATGTGACTAAGGTAGATAATGGATAAGGAGGACCTTCCCAGACAATGGAGCCAAGGACCAAAGAAAACAATGTCTGGGGAGCCCATCCCAGGGAGCAGAATGTTTACATACTGAATGCTTAGATATTCCCTTTCCCTCTCAAACATCACCCCCAGCCTTTTTCCCCGTAGACTCCACTCCTACAAGACTGACGACTAGGCATAGACCACCAATTCCAGAGAAGAATTTTGGGAAGTCCTTCTCTGAGGAATCTGATCTATCCAATAGGAAAGACGTAAAGGCACAAACACATGGGTTCCGCAGGAAGCCTGCCAGCCCAATCATCTTACAGTGAAGCCCGTTGTTGACAAGCCCCACTCATATGCTTAGTGCTTCGGAAGAGCTTTTTAAGGCCCCACTCTTAGACGTGAATAGTCAACCACATACTATCACACATCTGAAGAAAGCCCAATAGGAACCACAGAATCAAAACAAATGAACAGAGACTATGCGAAAGACAAAAACTTAAAAAAATCTATCATTATTATTATCAGGAAGATCAGAGAAGGGTTTTATCCATGAACCAAGTATCTGTACAAATCCTTTTTAAATTTTTTTATTGGGTTGCTTGTTTTCTTATTATTGCATTCAAATGTTCTTTATGTATTTTGGGTACAGTTCCTTTATCAAAATGATTTACAACTGTTTTACACCAGTCCGTGGCTTGTCCTTTCATTCTCTTAACATTAATTTCTATTTCCTTTTGTTTATTACTAGAACACAGAAATACAGTTGATATTTATATATTGATCTTGTATCCTTCAATCATGCTAAATTCACTTTTGATCTAGTATTTTCTCCTTAGATGACATTTCCCCCCTATAGGTCACATTCACAATACTGAATCTCCACTCCATTTACATGGCGTATCTTTTCATTTATNACATTTCCCCCCTATAGGTCACATTCACAATACTGAATCTCCACTCCATTTACATGGCGTATCTTTTGATTTATTTAGATATTTTATGATTTCTTTCATAAGTGTTTTGTAGTTTTCAGTGTACAGATCTTACACATATTTTATTACATTTATACCTAAGTATTTCATAGTTTCTGATGCTATTGGAAATGGTGCTTTACATTTTTATTTATAATTGTTTGTTGCTCATATATAGAAATAACATTTATTTGTGTATATTGATATTTTATCCTGTGACTTTGCTAAACATATATTTTTTTAATTCTAGAAATTTTTTTTTAGAGTCCTTGGGTTTTTTACATAGAACATATTGTCTTCTGTCAATAGAAACAGTTTTATTACTTTCTTTTCAATCTGTATACCTTTTTTTCTTGCCTTGTTACACTGACTAAGACTTCTAGTAAATGTTGAAGAGGCATGCTAAGAGCAGATAACCTTGCCATATTTCTAATCTTTGGGGAAAGCATTCAGTCATCCACTATTAAGTATAATTAAGTAGATTTCCTCTATCAGATTAAGTTCCCTTCTATTCCTAGTTTGCTAAAACTTTTAATCATGAATAGATGTTGAATTTCACCAAATGTTTTTTCTACATCTATTGAAATGATCGTATGTTTTTTTTTCCTCTCAGGCTTTTAAAATGGCAAATTATATTTATTGATTTTTGAATGTTGAATCTGCCTAGTACATCTGGGTTAACCCCACTAAGCAATGATGTGTTCTTGCAAGAAGATTTTTTAACTACAAATTCAACTTCCACAATAGGTATAAAGCAATTCAGGTTGTATATTTCCTTTTGAGTCATCTTTTGTTTTTGTCTTTCAAGGAAGTATCAATCACATCAAAGTTGTAGAATTTATTGGATTCAATTTGCTTGTAGTATCTCATTACTATTTTAATATCTGTAGAATATGTATTGATGACACCTTTTGCATTCTTGATATTGATCATTTGTATCTTCACTCTTTTTTCTGGACTAGTTTGATTAGGAGGTAATCATTTTTATTGATCTCATAGAATCAACTTTCAATTAATTGATTTTATATATATATTTTTCTATTTTATTTATTTGTGCTCTGATATTTATTTTCTTTCTTCTGATTACACAGAGTTTAATTTGCTCTTTTTTTTCTGGTTTCTTGAGGTGGAAACTGAGTCCATTGATTTGAGATCTTACTTTTTCTCTGACAAAGACATTTCATGCTATAAATTTCCCTCTGAGTATCCCACAAAATTTTATAGGACTGTTTTCATTTTCCTTCCATTCAAAATACTAATTTCCTTTCAGATTTTTCCTTTGACCCATTAAGAAGTGTATTATTTAGTTTCCAAATATTTGGGGATTTTCTAGAAATCTTTCTGTTATTGATTTCTAATGTATTTCAGTAGTGATCAGAGAACACAACTTTGTATTATTTGAGACATTTGG